GGAGTAAAAAAGTACATTACAATCACTGCCTGGTCCTTCAGAGGACACTTGACTCCTCTTTCCTCCTCACTGAAACTATTTCTCTCTGTCGCCTCCCCTCCTCCCCTCCTCCCCCCTCTGACGAACAAAGTTTCTAGAGAGGGAGAGACAGGCAGACAGAGAGAGAGAGAGAGAGAGAACCCAGAATGATCCACACGGATTCTCACACACCTTGTAATTGCTGTCAGCGAGAACGTCGACAAGTCACTTAATTGCCCGCCGTCCAATTTATGGTGAGATTGTGGAGCTGATGTGAGTTTGAGCGTAAAAAAAATGTAAGAAGAAAAGAAAAAAAAAGAGAAATGACTGAAAGAGTAAAAGGGAGACGGGGGAGGAAGGGAGTTCATTGTGTCCCGCTGACGATAGGAAGGACAAAAAAAAATGGAGTAATGTTTAAGCAAAGACTGTATGGAACCGCAATTACTGCGTCGCTCATTAACTCTAGTGATTTGCACGGAATGAGGAAGCCAAAGTAATGACTGCGTGTGTGTGTGTGTGTGCGTGTGTGCCTTGCACAAGAGCTGCCATTGTTCACACTGTCACACTGTTACAGTGTAATTCCTGTAAGTGCTGGTATTAGCACTCCGGTGAGAGCGGCGATTAATTCAAAGGTGCGCTCAGCGTCTTTTTCTCCCTGCAGCAGCAGCACTTACCCATAATCCTTTGTAACAGACTCAGACAACACTATGGATGAACTCCAGCCGGGTCAGCTCTTGTTCCACATCTTTGCATGGCCCGTAAAAAAAATAAATAAGAAAACAAGTGTTGCGCAGAGGTGCGGAGGAACCCTTTGTTGTGGACGTGTCGTGTGTCAGACAAGAAAAAGGGCAGAAATAAAACAGAAACAGTCAACGGTTCATGTTGATCTGCTGGAACAACAGACGGGGAGAGGGTGAACCTGAGATACCCGAGGGGGGAACACGAGAGGCAGACTTCAACAAGTGCACGGTCGTGTGGTTATTTTTATGCCGTACGTGTACAGTAAGTCATGCACCGGTGCCACCGAGGGGCAAACATGCCTGGGGCAGTTTCTACCTGTCCACAGAGTCAGTGTTGACTCAAATCGACAGTTAGCAGCTGCTGAAAACGTTCATGTTTTACTAATAATTATTGAACGAGCACACGTTGACCTTTGACCTTTGAGTCATAACAATCTGCTTCCACAATACAATTATATTACGGACTCAGCATATTAATGCCCCGGGGCAGCAGTTCCTGTGGAGCCTCATGTCCGGATGTGAAACCCAACATGTGAAAAAAATGTTTTTTTTGCAGTAACAGGCCGTTCGTTAGCCAGTTATTAATCAGTTTATAATTGAACAGCCCTGTTCTAATGAGCGACTCATGCTTATGTTTCCTCTGTATTGATCGTACTTGTGTAACTGAACGTGTGACGAATACTCGTGACTAAATATTGACCTTTTTATTCTCATTTATTTTCACGATACAGTCCCGAGTCCTGACCCTCACAGATTACCACGGCAACCTTGAACTCCGTCAGGCTCCGGACGGAGTTTAAGGTTTTGCAGAATAGTCAAAAAAAGTTTCCCCTGAATTTAATAAGAACCGTTTGACAGTGAAACATCTGGTTAAATAAGAACTTTAGTAATAAGTCCGTCAGATGATGGAAGAGATTTTCACAGATTACTGATTTTTCTGCCAATTCTTTGACAAATGACCTATCGATGCAGCGGCTTCTCTAAATCTATTCATGATCATTATTTGATTTTTCTCTCAGTCTGCGTGGATGTCACTGTTTTGCATTAGTTTCCCTGTAAACTTTAAAAGAAAAAAAAAGAAAAGTTCGAGTGTTTTTCACATTTTCTTCCACCTTCGTCTCCTACCTTCCTCCAGATCAAGTTCAATGGCGTCTCTAAATTACTCTGAGATGTGAATGTGAGTGTGGCTGTTTGTCTCTGTATGACAGCCCCCCGTCCCCCGTGATGGACGGTGTCCAGGCTGCACCCTGCCTCCCGTCCAATGTCAGCTGGAATTGGCTGAAGCTTAGTGTGACCCTCAGAGGATAAGTGATGGAGGTAATAGAAAGATGGATAGATGGATTCAACTTCTGCATCTGGATCGGACGCACGTACCTTTGCAGCATCATGTCCTGTATGTACACATGAATATGCACAGCGGCGCCCCCCTCTGACATTGACAGCTGGGTCATGGTGTGTGTGTGTGTGTGTGTGTGGAGGGGGAGACTCAGTTATGGTAAGGATCAGGATAAGACATATATTTGTAATAGCAAAGTTTTAGCCACACAAAAATAGGGGGCGAGGTGCAGACTGTGGCCAAGCACAAAACAAGCTTGTGATGAGATGATTGTGGGTTTGGCACAAAACAAAAAGCTTGTGATGAGATGATTGTGGGTTTGAATCCCATTATGACTTAGTTTGAATTTAGGACTGAGATTAGTCTTCAATTAGAGCTGGATTAAGATTAGGATTATCTGTGTGTATTTACTGTATCTGTGATACAGGTACGTTTGAGACAGTTGTTCTATTTTTTTTTTTTAAATAAGGAGCTGAGCTCAGCCGCTCAAAAAACAAGAAGGTTGATGTGTGTGTTTCTGTGTGTGTTTCTGTGTGTCTGAGGCCCTACAGCACTCAAACACGAAGGTCTGTGAGATGATGAGGATGAAGATGCGAGATGAAAATAAAGGCGAGCATGAAAGAGCTGTGAGCTGCAGCAGAGCTGAACATTTGATCCTTTTTACTCCTTTAATTGTTTGTCGTTTTCAGACAGTTGAACGCAGACTTTCATCTTTAAGACTCCAGGAAACTGCAGCTGTGACGTTCGCCGCCGAGCTGCAGACGCAGCCGCTGATCGACGACCCTGGTTCCTCACTGCACTCACATGCATGTGCTGACACACTAATTGACAGGTAGCGTTACAATCACACACCACACAGGGTGTTCTGGACATTTCTCCTCTCTGCAACTTCATCAGAGTCGGAGCGAGGCAGCAACGGGCAGCACCTCCTTTGCAGACCACAAATTGAGTCTCTTCTCTCTCCACTTTGATGAAAATGCATTTGAACATCAGTGGTGGGGGAGGGCGGGGAGGCGGTGTTGACTCCAGTGAGCGCTGCTTCTGTATCAAATGGCAGGTGGATGTGGAGGTGGTGGAAACAGAAGTGTTTGTTTTGTGCCTTTTCTTCCTACTTCTTTTTTTTTCGCCGTCTTTCTCCTCGTGGGGAGTGTGACAGCAGAGATGGAGAAAAGACGGATGAAGCCGCGGTTGCCATAGGGACATGTGATGTATAGAAACAGCCACGGGGAGACGGAATCTAGAGGTCAGGGGTCACACATGTAAGCCGCAAACACGTGGAGCACTCTGCCTGTGTGAAGTGGACTGCACCGGCTTTGATTTCACCCCAGGTGTAGAGTACTCCGAGAGGCATCCAGGGATGAAGAAGCAATAATGAAAAGCAGTATAATATCACGGCTGCGTCTTTAAAGTTGCACAAGGCAACACGTTTTAATAGCTAGTTTCATCTTTGTTTGACATTTAGCCACAGTCCCACCGTGAGGAGCAGCCATTGTAGCAGGAGAATAAAAATGTGCAGTGAAAGTTCCCCCGTGGACTCGGATACAGGACCATCGGAGTCCATCAAGTTAAACGGTTTGTGTCTTAAAGGCGGCAGGAACAACAACAGTGTTATTGGCGTGTGTTACAATAAATACACATTGTTTTCTGCAGAAGGACAACAGCAAAGACACGGCTGTGAGACGTCCTCTTTATCAAGAAGTCACACAACTCCTGTGACGCATCAGGCTGGAAAAGAACTCAGTCTGGGGAAGGATTCAAATCTGTGATTTAAAAATTGCACAAAAGTCAAAGATGAATTCAAAGGTAGTATTTTGTAAATACTACTCATTTGGTTAAGGTGTATATTGTATTTACAGTGATACTATATATTCAAAGTACTCTGGTGACAAAAAAAAGTCAACTTTTATTAGTACCAAATAGGGATGATATTATTGGATATTATGATATCGGTGGGGGGGGACTTTTGACCCTTAGGGGAAGCATAGCAAAAAAATCTATTTTCCTTTTTCAATAAACAGCACAGACAGAAAGAAGGGAAGTGGCGAGAACCAAAAGGTGCTCCAGATTACCACAGATCAAAACTGATTGCTGGAGGCGAGACAGAGAATCAGAGCGGCCAAACCTAAACAGAGACACAGAAAATCCTCCACATTCCCAACATGGTGGAAACTTGTTTTGCTGATTTATTCGGCAGCTGTATTTGAATCGAGGCAGAGAGTGAGCTGGTGTTGAAACCTTAGAAAAAGAAAAAGAAATCAGTGAGTTCTTCCACAAGGAGAGGAGGAGGCTTTGTGTACAGGAGAGAAACATTAAAGTCCTGAACCACAGCATGAATGGAGAGTCTTAATGATGAGTAAAAGAGTACAATAATTCAGGGTTTATGGCCTTTTTAACACCTACTGTGTACACTTACTGTACCTCTCTAGGTAACTACACATTCTTTTTTTTTTAAATATTCTATAACCTTCATTACCTACTTAATAAAACACATGTTTACCTTCCTAGTTATCTGTCAACTGACCTTCCTAGCTACTGACCTGCGTCTGCCTACCTTCCTAACAACGTACTAACTACCTACCCACCTATCTACCCATGGACTTACCTATTAACTACCAATTAACCACCTCTAATTAAACTAGCCTACTAACTAATATATAGTAGGTACCAAGTATACAGCACATTTGCATTTTTCACCAACACACAAAGATGTGTGATATTTCTTATTGATATCGTTGTCAAACACTGCAGCTTTTCACCGTTTACCAGTTGAAGTGCACTTCAGGTAAAACTGTGATTTTCCCACACGTAGAAATGTGATTAGGAAACAAACGTAGTGGAGTTCTGCTCCACTACGTTTGACAGTGAATGATGATTTTGAATAAAGCAGCCTCTGAATGAACCTGCATCAACAGTCGTACGTCAGTTGTGACTCTGTCACAGTCACCTCCACAGGAGCCAACTCAACAAAGGAGGTTTTTCTCTAAATGAACAGAAAGGGGAACTCCTGATGGAAGACAGAAACCAACATGTCAGGTGGTTTTATTGTTTTTTTTCATTCTCTCTTCTTCTTCTTCTTTGGCTCACAGAGGCCGTGGAGACGACTCACCTGATGAAGAAGGACGATCTGGTGCCTGCGATGCTGCGAGGTGAGTCTGAGGTCAGCGTGATGTCGCGGTGGCTCGGACTTTTTAGTTTAATTACCGTGGGTTTGACTGAACAGATAGGGCAACGGTAGATGCACTATTTATGAGTGCACCTCGCCGGGGCACTGCTGATGCTGCGGGAGGAAAAGGCCAAAGACGGATTGTTGAATGAATTGTCTAGACTGATGTGAATATATAGTGTCTCTCTGCAGCTAAATGTATATTGCATTTCTGTTTGGAGAGAAAAGAGCAAACTGTGTGGGAGTCGTTGGGTCAGAGCATCTGTTCGCTTTGTTTCTGTGAGTAGATGTGTGTTATGGTAACCCGCTGCCTCCAGACTTCAGGTTCCTCCCACCTTGTTAAATAAATAGTGGAGAAAACAAAAGTTCTTTTATATTTTTGCCTTGAAGAAACCAGAAACATCTGGAGCTGCAAAATGCACCGGGATTTTTTTTTTAATTTATTTTTTACCTCGGAGTTTATCTGCCAAATATTTTTCCACACAGTGTTAGAAATATTTTTTTCAGAGCTTATCTGCCAGAAATATTTTTTTTCCCAGCATTAAAATTTGCATTTTAGCTCACTGAACAGAGTAGAATAGAATAGAACTTATTACAATGTACATTTATTTTTATTTATTTTATTTTATAGCACAACGAACCCCAAAGACAAAAAGAGGCAAAAATGACAAATGAGGAAACTAATGACTCTGGTCAACAGAATATGCAAACCCTGAACTCCTCTGTACAGCCTGAAGATGATGACATTACAGTACATGTGATGTATTGCACAGTAGCTGCATGGAACAGGAATCAAATTTATTGGAAGTATTTGGTAACCTTTGCATTTGGAGAAGGATACAGACACAACCACCTGCAGTAACAGTAACAGACCTGAAGGAGGTTTAGTTTAAGCCTTTTATTTTTGTCACAGTTTGGTTTTCTACTCATTTACAGAAGGACATTTTAATACAAATGGAAATAAATCTTTCTGTATTAAAACAGTCTTCAGTCTGACACTGTGGTTACGCAATACTTCAATAAAACTAGTGACAGAATGAATAAAAATCACAATGAAACTGTATAGTTAACACAGACAGCGCTTTCTTTATGCTTCAGTTAATGTTGTTTTAAAAATCATCTCCAGTTAGCAGCAGATTATGGTGAGTCGTCACAGAGTGTTTTCAACGATTCAGACAAAGAATCCGACCCGTCATGACACTGGGATTTGTATCATTAGATCCTTGCTTCACGTGGCCTGAAACAGTTTACGCCCGAGTAAATTCACCTGAGGACACGGCCATACAAATCTGTGTGAACATGAAACATATAGATTTTCTCTGAGCTCAGATGATGAAAAACCGAACCACACGAAGGAGGAAGGAGCAGGATATTTCTTAGAAAAGGTCGGTGGAGAGGAAGTAGGTAAACCTCCAGCAGTGAGTACGTGGGCAGAGAGGAGCAGTGTCAGAGTGTGGAGAAAAAAAAAAAGAAAAGAAAAGATGGTGATATGTAGAGTACAGTAAACCCAGAGAGTTTCCAGGTGTATTTACAATCAATACCAGTACTTTATGTACTGCATATATACACTGTTTATCTACTGCAGTATTCTGTATCTGCAGGTATGTTCAAGAAAAGGTTGAGCTTGTGCCGATGTGTGTGTGGGTTTCCCTCAGCTAATACTCCTGCTACTGTCGTGTTGCATCCAAAGCAGCCTGGGAAAGGAACGTACGCTAACGTGCAGACTTGTTATTTTGTCATTGTCAGTTGTTCAGTGCGACAGGGAAAGGATGGATGGCTTTGGATGGAGGCGGCTGCCGTGTCCTCGCCCCCCTGATTTCGGGCAAGCGAGCAAGAGTGGAGACCCAGCTGAGCAACGGGGCCGGTGACGGCAGCGCGGGCGAAAATAAACAGCAGGCCTGAGAAATCAATTCAGCGTGGCTGTCAGTGGACTGTCAAACTCCCCTCCGTGATGGACAGTCTGGATGTTCACAGTCTATTTGCCGCCAGGCTGTGGAGCGGTGAGTAAGTGAACCGTGCCGGTCTAAGCACAGACAATATGAAGAGGGAGTGTAAAGCAATATGTGCTGTTGCCATGCTAGATCAGCATAAACGTCACGGCCCGCGCTGGCATGGCCTCAGGGGTCTGCAGGGAGGGTCAGTGTGTCAGTGTGTTCATATACTGTGTTACATATATGTCAATATGTACCGGTAAGTGTTCACATAAATGTAGCTTGAGATCTTTATTATTAAGTCACTTCTTTTTCCTTTGAATCTTTAAGACTGTAACCAACCAAGACTTTATTTAAGAAACAAACAAAAAAAACTTTTAGCTTTTTCACTCACCAGATTTTCTCCATATTTTAATGAAATATTATATAGATATAGTAGTATAACCATGAACCTGGTAGTGATTATAACATACCATATTACATTATCAACATATGAACAATAACACTAAAATGGTGGAGGCCGTCAGTGTCAGACGGCCAATAACAATAACACATTTTCCCTTTTTGACTTTTGTCTTCACTTTAATTATAGAATTCCTGTGCCGGTTCCAGATCATATCCCGAGTCTCGTTTTACATTCCAGCTCTGCTCCCTGAGCTTGACTCATCACCGCGGCTCACTGGTGAGTGGATTTCAATTTAAATTATTACAGATGAAACCTTTAGCATCAGTTCCCGGCTGGATTTCAGTCTGGTTGTGAAACTACGGCTTGATTTTTTTAAATTTTTTTTTCCTTCATTTGTTCAGTTTGTTTAAATGAGAGCAGCTTGTACGTCACCTTTGTTACCTTTAATTCATGTAGTAATTAATGAACACATCTTGTGTTAACAGCAATGGCGTGCACGTAACAAGTGTTGATGCCAACCAGTATCAGCTTCTCTTTAAATATAAAACACTAGCCACAGTCTGGTGCAAAGCTTTTCTCCCTGGTGATGAAATCTGGGTAGATATTACAAATCCCTCAAACTGTCTGAAAATATTAGAACCCAGAAACATTATACTCTGCTGCAGACAAAAGTCTGTTTTCACTGGAATGAAAGCTTCTCTCAGCTGAAATAAGTGAAGAACAACGAAAAAGGTGAAATATCATGTTTGTTTGTTTGTTTTTTCAGACGTGGTGTTGTCAGTGAGATGACTAACCTCACAATCATGTACATGTAGACAGTTGTCATTCACATGGTCTTTCCACCTGGTCCTCAATTCATTTTCATAGCAACAACTTTCTCACAAAAATAAATTATTATTGAATTCTTTATGCTAAAAAGAGGGGTACAAATATATATATAACTTTCATTATTCTAATATTATATTATACCAATTTTAGATTTTAAAAAATATTATTAAAACATGTAATTTTACAGCATTACACACCAATATTAATAACATTTTACAAATATTTTATAAACTATCTTAATACTACACCGGGCCCCCACCCCGCCGTTCTCCGGCTCTTTATTCCGCACCTGTCGTGTGAGGGGCGGGGCCAATGTTGTGACGTGTGCACAGAGCGCGTTATTATAACAACGACAGTGATGCTAAGTAACGCTGTTGTCTCTGTTGTCCAGGATACGAATAGAGGAAAATAAGAGCAGTAAACACGGTACAAATATAAAGGTACAGTAGAGAAAATGTTAGACATTTCCATATTTGACTGTTGTAATACGTTACTTGTCCAGAAGAGTGTAGTTATAACTCGTGTTTAAACGATTGTAGCCTTTAGCTAAACATGGTTTGTTTACAAATCATCGATAGGCACTTTTATCTCCCGCTATTGTCGCTATTACATGTAAAGACAGTCCATTCTGATATTTATGAAATTTTTAAAGTTTATTCGGACTTCTTAGGTGACGTCACCAGCACCTGCTCAACCACCACAGTAAAGCCTTCAAATAGGCGTAACTGCGCATGTGCGAAGCATTCGAGACGCAGGAAAGAGTACTATTATATTTATTTAATGTGGAAAAAACAATGAATTACAATCGGTTATTTTTATATTTATATTTGCACATTAAAATAAAACATAAAATAACATTTTTTTTCTGATAAACAATATAATACGTTATAAGTAGATACGTCACCACTGCACAGGTGTTGACATTGACAGGGATGTTGACAACGAGAGACACCGCAGCACAGGGAGCCTGATTATTATTGTTTACTCCTGTGGTTTGACTTGACTTTCTCCTCTGTCACCTGCCAGACTGTTCCCGAAGCAAATCAGCTGGGCTCCTTGTGATGTGCTAATAGCAGTGTTGAAACCAATGTTTTTGCACCGCTGCAAATCAGGCTCAGAGGGAAGATCCACTCTTGTTTACATGCAGCTTATTCTGTTTATTTACCTGGAATTTAAGGTCTTTAATTTACAACTTATTTTGGTCTCTTACTTCCTGACACTCACACCTCAGAGCTGATTTATTTACGTTTTTTTTTTTTACAGGACAAGTTCATTTACCTCAGAGCTGATTTATTCACTTTTTTTTTTTACAGGACAAGTTCATTTAAAAGGTCAAAGGTCAAAGACACACACACATGGGTAAGTCATAAGATTCTAATTAAAATTTCAAACGGAGCCTGGTTTTATTAACTTCATTCTCTAGTTTCATCATCATCATGTCTTGCGTTGAACTGATTTTCACACCTGGGAAAATTTGCTGTTTCTATTCCCGGTCTTTTTGTATGGAGTTTGCATGTTGTGTCATGTGTTTACGTGGGTTTCCTCCAGGTAGTCAGGTCAATCAAGGTCTTTATTGACTATAGGTGTGATGGTGGAGGGTTGTGGCCCCCACCCAGGGTGTAAATAAACCCCTCACTCCTGCCGTGACTGCTGGAAATCAAAATGTCTGGAGTTTGGAGATCTTTGGATTTAGCTTTTCGCTAAAATAAGATTCAGGTTCATTAGCATGCTCCGTATTTAATCTTTATGTCTTAAAGTCTTTATTACGGAGGTCGAGCCAGTGCACAGAACTAACCCTCAGAGGCCAAGCTTCTCCTTGTGTCTCCTTAGATGGAGTTGAATGGATGGAACACTAAATGAATTCCCCTTTTTTTTTTAGAGAAAAAAAAAACCCTTGTATTGAAATATGACAGGAGGAAGGAGCTTGTAAATACACACAGTAAAGTTCAGCCCAAAGATGCAGTGGGTAAATAAAAATGATGCATTCAAGTTGTGAATGTATTTGGCGCCTGTGTTGGGTTTTCAACAGGTTGGCAGCCATTTTGTCTAATAACCTTTGCTGCAGTAATCTGACATTTTGGGAGGAAGAAAAAGGCCAAAGTTGTTGCTTTTTCCCCCCCCTGTTCTCATTAAAGAGAAACACACTCATCATTTTGCCCTCCAGTTTCTCTGGTTGATGCCTCTTCCTCTTCCCGTGTGTTTGTAATTCATACTAGAGTAAATAGAGTCCACTGAGAGTTGCTTGTTTGTTTGTTTGCTCAGTAGCGCTGCTGCTCACTCAGCGATTTTCCACCTGTGTCACAGCGTGGTTGAGGTGAAAGCCTGGTCAGCTAAGTTTAGGACTTTCACCAAGGGAGGGGAATGGGGGGGGGGGACTTTCTTCTCAATAATAAGCACAGGCTCATCTGCATACATTATCATGATGGGGGTTGACGTGCAACCTGAGCAGGCTTCCACTCTCCCCAAGTGGGTGGTAATTACAGCCACGGAGCGTGTTTTCATCCCAGGAGACTGGGCAGGAGTGGCAGGTTATGGTGGGGGCGAGGGAGGAAGTGAGGCAGCGTGATGAAGAGGGAAGAAATGAGGGATGTGAGGATGCAAAAGAGACAGGGAGTCAGAGTGAGGGAGGAAATAAAGGTAGGAGAGAGAGAGAGAGATTTCCACAGTTGGATAAACAAATGCAGAGGCGAGGCGTTTGTTCTGCTGAAGAAGATGCAGAGAGAGGAGCCGTGGCTGTTTTCAGCATAATGTGCACTCTGCTGTCATATTTGTGCGAAGGCCCGCTGCTGGGAAATGCAATTGTGTATAGAAATAAGAAGGAGGATGAGAGTGAGAGGGCAGGCCGGCAGCAGCTCTGTCTGCTGGGCAGCATGTGAATATCTAATCAATAGCCATCAGGACTCAGGAGGATTTACTGCCTCGTGCTGCAGGACTCAAACATCCCCAAGGCCAGTTCAGACCAAAGCAATGGAGCATGAACTGTGGAGAATAGATCACTTCTGTGATACAAACAGACATGCAGGAGATGGAGCGGTAGAGCAGTGTCTGCCTGATTTGAATTCCTGCGTCTGTCACTAAAGAGCATGTGCAGAAACAGTTATAATAATGGATTGAATGGAGTTTCTGCACCTGTTTTTTGTTTTCTAATGTTAGTTATATTCACATTGGATGTATTTTTTTTTTAAATTATTGTTAAAAATGATTAGTAATAATACATGTTTAATTTTGTGGCCAAATTAGTTCATATTTATATTTTCTAATTGTAATTTTATATTTATAATAGTATAAATGTTATTTTAAGTCACCAAACATGAATAAAATTAATTCTTAAAAAAAAAAGGAAAAGACTAAAATAGGGTCACAAGCAAAAAAAAAAAGTTTGGAACCACTGATGTTTATTATCTAGTCTCCGCAAAAAAAAAAAAAGTTTGTAACCACTGATGTTTATTATCTAGTCTCCAATTCTCTCTCCTTCCAACAAATCTGACTTTTTCCATCTTATGACTTCAACATTCCTGGCATCAGTCGTCTGTTGATGTCACGGCGTGTCGACCTGAGCAGATACATGTGCGGTATCTTCAGGGCCTGGATGCTGATCGCTCCCCTTGTGTCCATATACACTTCTCATGGCAAACCCATCAGCGTCGTCTCCAGAGCTCCAGGTCTGCCCAGAAGCCTCCACTCGGAGTCTCTCATGTGATTCAGGAATTTATAGATTTCATCGTCCTGCTCTGTTTTCCTGCTTCCTCATAAATAGCAGATCAAACTCACTATCACCTTTCTTTGTTTTCCTTTCTTCCTCCTGCAGGCCATTTGCGCTGACATTTCCAACACTCTCCTTGTTACTCTGTGCGAGCAGGAGAAATCATTCCATTCTCTCCACACCTTCTGTTAAAGGAGGCACCGGTGGTAGTGTTGTTGTTGTTGTTGCTGTTGTTAAAGACGAAGACGACACTGATGGAGAGCTCAGGGACCGAGGAAATACAGGAGGTGAGGAGAAAAAAATACTTTCTTTATTGAACTTAGGAAGTTTGGGTCCAAAAGTCTCAGAGAAAATGTAAGTTTGTTTTTCTTTCTGGTAGATTATTGTTTTGTTGTGTTTAGCTGAAATCTTTTTTTTTCTGCTCCCTTGTTGTTACTGAAAATGAGTATATTATTGCACTTAAGTGCTTTAGAACATTATTACTTTTTTAATTTTGCCAATTTGTTTGGTTACTGTAAAATCAGTTTACATTTACCAGTTTTTTTAAGCTAATTAACTACAATAACAAAACAGGAAGTTAACTTCTAAGATGTACTACTACCTTATACGTGGCCATTGTAGACATTTTTTAAATAATGCTGATTGTGTTCCTAAAATGCAGTGCAGTTTTAAAGAAACCTACTGGCATTAAACTTCAGTGTTTCATCCAAAATCAAACCTGAAGACAAGATCACACTGTTGCGGCGCCACATAGTGGTGCATGCAGGTGTATCTACTTGGTCTTCATCTCACCTTGAAACTTAGCCTGAACTTTTACAGCAGCCAGAGCTACGTCCTGAAGGTGTAGGTCGTCGTAGTTCAACTGTGCTGCACGGAAATTAAATTGACTTCTTATAGCAAATGTACACAGTCATCACTATCCACTGGACTACATTCCTCTGGGTACTCCATTAAGGAGAGCGTCTCTGTTCTTCCATTATCTGTAAAGACAGAGTGGCTGCGTTCACATCGCACTTCCTTTGTCTTAACGACTACTCCGAGCAATTTACGCTCCGGGTCAAATCCATTCAATCACGCACGGATTCGTGCGGCAGTGGAGGGCGATCGGGGGTTAAGTATTTCAGGTACTTCAACTTATGGATAAATGACGACTTGCTTTGCCTGCGCAGTGCCAGACAATCTGTGCGAAGTACAACCGTTTCCTGTAAACGGTCACTTTATGGGCTGATGGATGGCAGCGATAAAGGCAGCGCAGATATTAATAGGGCAATAATGATGAGCTTGCATAGGCTGACAGTGAAATAATGCTGATGTTACGGTATGAGTAATGGCATGTTTAATGGTGATGATAATAGCGATGATGACGATGGCGACAGTCATTAGCAGCCCGATGCGGTTGATGATGATTGGCTGCTGGCAGAAACAGCGACAGACGGGCTTCAGGAGAACAAAAGGTTCCAGCAGCAACAATCGGGATTTTAATGAAACCCAGGTAGAAAATGAAAGTTATTTTAAGAGCTCAAATATTTGCTTATAGCACACTCTGAGCTCTTCCTGACGTGTCAGCGCTCGGAGACGAACAGAAAAGTGTGAGAAGACAACTTTTCTCCCCAGGCTATTTTTACAGGTTTTAAGTCGGAGCTATAATATTGGATTTTCATATGAAAAAAGGCCGTGTCACAGCCTATAATGTCTCAAACCCCACCGCCCCTAAAAAAAGGGAAAAAAAAAACAACTTCCTTCTGAGTTAAATAAACATTTAATATCTCTGCCTGTATCTAATAAACTTCTGCTTGATCTATGTGAAGTTCTCGCAGCGGTGGCGACAGCAGAATTACAGTAATAACCGCGTCAGAGTGAACATAATTTCACTGACGTGTGGATTGATCACAGTTGTTTGGAGTCATCTCCTCTGACAGATAATGGTAACCTCCATGAATATGAATGGGACTCAGGCCCTGAAATCATGCTGCTTTCAGACAATTTTCTCTCTTTTTTTTTGCCCCTTC